CACTGTTGATCTTGGTCCTCTTGAGGGCCCTCACAACGTCCTCAGTGTGGAATGTGATTGTGGAGTTGCCGGGCCGGAGGTGGGACCTGATGTTGGTGAGCTGTGTGGAGTTATCAGTCTCGAACCTGGTGTAGAAGGAGTTGAGGTCATTGGCGAGGGAGGCTGGGCTGCTCCCAGGGATGAGGGTGGGGGCGGTGCTGGTGGTGGTGTTCACAACTGCCATTTTCTTCAGGCCCTGCCAGGCTGCACGGAGGCTGAGTATTGCAAACTCAGTGATTGAATAAATTCACATGTAGCGAGCCTCAGTAGTTATTTTGTGCGTGTTGAGTAAATTCACCGCTCTTAATTAGTCAAATGAATGTTTGACATGTTTTGTTCACAGTTTTTAAAGTTCATCGTGGAAATGGCTCATGTTTACGCTGTACCATCATTCAATCGAAAGAATGCCATCTGTTCACGGAGATGACACTCATCCCCATTTTGCTGACAGCAGACAGGGAATAAACTGCTGCCACCACAACCTTGGTCAGCTCCTGTGATTTTATTTCTGTGAAGACATCACCAATGTCACACATACATAGGCTGTTGTATTTGTCAATTCGTGTACACATATTGTGAGCAAAAAACAAGGAAAATGTTGGATTTTTGTTTATTTTGATGGTGGGGCATTTGTGACCCAAGTTTATTTTGTCGCCCAAGCGGGAATGCTGGTAATATTTATGACGATTATTATTATTTGTGGTCGAGGTATGATTATTATTTAAATCAGAATTCAACACCAATTTCTGATTTTCATTCACTTTTTGAGTACTTTTTTGGTTTGGTTTGTTTGTTTCATTATTATTTATTTCTGTAAGAGAGGGCACCAACAATTTTCTACACTTGTTGCTCCTTTGTGGAATTTAGGAGAGAAATGGAGCATGACAGAACAGCTCACGACATCGTCTTCAGGCGTCACGTTGTCGCTCTCTTCTGGTCAGTGGGAGAAATGCTCTCGGTGACAACTTCCGGGAATCGAAAAATAAACCCCTATTTCTGCTTGTGTCTTGTGCCAAATTCTATTTTTGTTCAAAAATTAATCTGAACCTGTTTTTAGACTTGTCCTACTTCTAGACTCGAACATCAAGCTTTGCATTTCGATATTAAAATAAGGTTCAACAACGACTGGTTTTCCACTTTTAATATTTGTTTTCAAACGTAATATCCAATGACCAAAAGAGCAACGGACTACACTCCGAACCCAGAGAGCCACTGTCCTGCCTGTTTTAGAATGCAGGTACGTCCAAATATTAAATAAGTCAACATTCTTCATTAATCAAGTTTTATTATGTCTGCAGTGCATGATTTATGTCAGGCAGGATTTTTTTTCAGAATCGCCATGGGCTATTGACTTGTGCATGGGCTTACCCAGAGACATTTTGATTAAAAAAACGAACACAGTGGCAGCTCCAACCTTTTGAACCAAGAACCAAGGCTCTCTTGGCATGATGACAATTCTGAGGTGGTGAGTAGATTTGTCCTTACTTCGTTGTACTCACGACGAATGACACTCTTATATCCGACCACATCAGATCAAGTAAAAATAGCGAAATGATAGGAAAGCGTGCTCTTTTTCACTTTTTTTTTTGTCTTTCTGGAAAAGTGGGCATGTCTAGCAAGGCACGTCACCTGCAATCTTTGGAAGTTGCCTTGTCCACAGAAAGAGAAAAAGGCAGCTTGGGCTGTGGCCTCACATTATCAGAGAGGAGCTTCAGTTACGTGATGAGATCTTGAGTCCAGAAGACGAAGCAGAGTTGACAGAATTTCTTCAGTATGTTGCTGAAAAGCTTGGTTGCTGCTCAGGCCAAACAAAAAAAATGGTGTGTTTCGGGTAACATGAAATTTAAGCATAGGGTTGGTCGGTAGGACAAAGTTTTTTTTTTTTAATCTTTTTTTTTCCATCAAAAATGTAAACAAAATAACCATAAAACATAAAACAAGGTGACATTGAACCCCCTGCTCGCCGCCGAAGACCATTGCAGGAAACGTGTATTTACTCGACTGTCCGTCGAGCTGCATGCAATTCACTCTGAGCATGGACCGACCGACCCCGCGCCCGACACCGTCCCCTACCCCCGCGACGCCCGCAACGCCCCCGCCGCCGTCCCGCCGCTCTGCGGCCGGTACCTATTTAGATTTATCCCCGCTCCGGACTCGGGGGGCCAGGGCCGCCGAAGACGGTCTCGCGGGGTCGGGCCGCGGGCGGGCGCTCAGGTCGGGGCGGGGGGATAGGACACCGGCCAACGACCGGCACTGGACCCCGCGGCCGCCTTCGATGTCGCCGCTGCCACTGCCTCGGCCGTCCTCCTCCGCCCTTGGTTTTTACTCGGCCAGTGGTATTCATCAAATAGTTCGCTGAATTTTTTCGATACATCAATGGATGCTATTTTCTTAACATTACGGTGCGAGCATGTGACTGTAACACAGAAAACGCGGTTCAAACTGTCGTCGGAGATCGCGGCCGCCGCCATAATTCAATGTTGTTGACAGACGATAGGGCAAACGACGCACGCGCTCAACATGAATATCGCGAGAGTTTGCACCGATGTAAACCCTCTACACAAAAATGTAGAGGGTTGTTTGAAAAAAATGCCGACCGTAAAGTTTTTTTTCGACGTAGAAATTCTCAGTCGGTCGGGTTACCAGAAACACACTACTTTTTTTTCTCCGCCTCATCGCTATCGTGGCAGATGAGTGAAGCAAAGAGTTACTCAACCGAATGCTGAAACTGCTTTTGTCTCATCCTTGAGGTATCAGCAGCGAGCTGGTGGCAGTCACGACTGAAATGTTGGCATCAAAAGGCAGTCGGGTGACACTGTTATACGTTTACGGCAATAAGGCTACCAGTGGTGATTATTTCTTCTCGTACAAACAACTTCCTGGACAAGCACCACACTTCCTGCTTTCCCACTTAGGAAACGGCAGACCATAGAAGGGCAAGCCGGGAATGTCGTTCAACATGACAAGAGACAGGGAGCGAGTGCACCTGCCCATGGAGGATGTGTCGCTTGAGCACTCGGCAGTTTACTACTGTGCTGTGAGGCCCACAGTGACACACGCGCCACATTCTCGCTTCAAGAACATTTCCTGCCCCTGAACTCATCACACTCACCTCTAGTAGAGGAACGGCTTAACTAGATATACAAACCCCAATTCTAATTTGGACGTTGTGCAATTGTAAAGAAAAACAATAGACTTTTTTTTTCCACCCTCGTGGGCTGTGGTCTGCGGAGCCCTTATTTCAAATTGTTTTTGGTCAACATGGTCATTGTGTTATCTGGGCCAAAGATGAAAAGGACGTCAGCAGTGTTATTCACGGCAACAGTTTTTGGGATCTGTCGATGTTCTTGTCAGGTAGGTGTGATGACATTCAGAGACGACATGATGATTTTTGAAGGGCACTGTTGTGTCATGGGGCTTCCTGTGTGCTAGAAGAAGCCTGATTCTCCTCAATGGCTTATCAGCCAATATTTATTCACAAGAAGAAGGATAAGCAGATTTGGCCAGGACGAATTTCATGTGAAACGACACAGTAGGGTGCTGTGACGAAGGAGAACATGTCTTCGAATGTGCATGTTGATGTCATTGCAACAGGAAGTGAAGGTCGTGCCCACTCAGCCATAAGTTAGCATTCATGTGAAGGGCGAATGCTGCGCCATGAAGTTCATGCCAACACATCCACTGGCGCGCCTGCACAAAAACACCTGCAGCCGCCTCGTGTCGTAGGCCACATATGTGGGGGGGCTCACGGGAGGAGATGAGCCACAGTGATAACACACTGCTGCTGCTGTGCAGAGGACGCTCCCTTCTCATGGGCTCATTTCAACTTCATCTCATACTCACTGAGGAGGTCAATGTGTGATGAGACTCTGAGAGCAGCAGTGATTTTGTTTTCATATACTGGCATGCACAACAATGAAAATGTTATCAGGCTTTTTCTTCATCACTGGCACAAGAGGATACAAGTTGTCCCAGAGCATTCCTGACATCCCCAACAAAGCTCAGGTATGCGAAAGGTCTGCATAAATATCAATCAGGAGACCAACAAGGGCCAGTGCTGGTGAATGCTACTGCACATCAAGTGACAAAAACAGAAATCCAAACTATCCCCACTCTGTGCACTGATATGAACACAGCTTTGATGACCTCACTGTTAAAACGCAATAAAGACCCAACGACGACCATCCAATTATCACTGACTGTCCTGAAATCAAACCTGTTTAAAAGTTACGGAAAGTGATGCTCCTCGTTCTACCTGACCTGCATTTCCTACACACAACAAACATCCTGTCGTGTGACTGTGTAAGGCAACAGGCTTGTGTCATCCTTCAGGCGCCCCCGGCGGTGATGAACCGATAGATTTCACGAGTGATGCGTTGGAAGGCAAAGAGATGACTCTGTCCTATACTCATGTTAAAAAAACATTTTGCTTCTGATTCCACACAGAAAGACCAGAGCCGGAATCAAACCCTGAACCTCTGCACTGTGAGGCCAACCACTGGTCCACCGGTCTGAAGAGTACACAATTAAATTTAACATTAAATTCATTTAAAATGGTTGCTTTTTTAAAATCAGGTGTAAAGGTCAAATTTTAGAGGCCTTTTATTTTGAAATGCAACAGGAGATCTTAATGAAAATTCTGTGGTTGGATGCATAAACCTGGTCTGGTTGTGGGTTAACTAAAATGTATTTTTTATTGTTTTTTTTTTTTTTTTTTTTTAATCAGGTGATATTTTTCGTCATGGATGTCAAGTTAACATTGACTTTATGTTCTATCTCAACTTCAGAATGCTTCTTGGTGCTATTCTGAAAGAGTTGTCATTCTCTCTGGGTGAACTCATCGTTGCCTGACCGCCATGAAAGTATTTTATAACATTAAAGCTTTTATTTTGAAGGTGGTCAACGCCGCTTGCTGGTGGCAGATTTCCGTAATGCCGAGTATCGACAATCGCTGCCTTGACCGCCGTCTCGGACTGGGTCGCCAGGAAGGAAAGACACCCTTGACCAAATTCTCCTGAATTTATCGTCAATGTGCTCAAACCCCCACTCGGGGGGGGGGGGGGTTCACTATCATTTCGCTGGACCAAAACATCTTTCCTTGAAGCTTCGTGTCCGATTAAAGTCGTCTCGGTGTACGTTGATATATCTCGGCCTAGTTTAGCTTCGGGTAGCTTGCTAGCCGCTAACAAAGAGGTGCTCGTGCTCGACACATCGCTACGCAGAGATCTTAAGCGTAAAGCGTCGTAATTTTCGTGTGAAAATGTGCGCAAGAAGCAGAGCAGAGTACGAGGAGGAACTTTGTGGAGCAAAAGAGGACCACGAGCGACAACGTCAACTACTGGAAGCCATTGGCAAGATGCAGCCAAGAATTGTTCTTCACAGATTAGGTTGGGTCACATTGTTCGTCTTACTCTTTCTTTCATAATAGCAGCCATATGCTGTCTTTCTTGTACGCAGTGTGTGTGTGTGTGTGTGTGTGTGTGTGTGCGCGCGCGCGCGCGCGCGCGCGCGCGCGTATGCGTGCGTGCGTGCATGCGTGTGTGTTGAAGGCGGAATTTCCACCACACTATTTGACCAATAATCAAATACATTGGCGGACTTCCGGGGTGCTCGTTGATGGGCTCAGGAATGACCAGTTGCACAAGTCTTTTGAGTCAGGAACACAGAAAAGTATTTAATCCCTAACAAATAGTCTAATACAGCATAGATCAAGCCAATTATTCTTAACAGAGCTCTGGGTCATCAAATTCTCCTAACCGCTAAAGTAGCAAGGCAGAGTGACCAAGACGCCTTTCCTTACACTTACCCAAAAAGGTGTGTCTCTCTTTGTGTGTGTGTGTGTATGTGTGTGTGTGTTCAGGCATAGACAAGTAGTCTGCGAGGACAGTCCAGTTGTTATCAAGGGCATCTGTCAGACTAGGTGTGGATTGTCCTATTGTGAATCTTCCTTTGATGTGTATATGGTCTCTGACATTTGGCCGTCTTTTGTTGTTGGAAGCGGTCATCCTGCTGTGGGGCCTTTTTGATTGCCGATTGTGATCTCCAGTCCAGGGGTCCAACCGGCGTCTCCCCTTTGCTCATGGCACCTTGGCACCCCCTCTTCCTCAGTCACACTCAAATGCAAATAGTCTCTCATTTACACTCAGAAAAACATCATTATTTGAAGTCACACATTCCAATCCTCCACCCGAATCATCTACAATCATGAAAACAGCACTGTAACAACAGCAAGTATTTTGTGACTACGGTCAAACCTCGGTTTTCGAACGTCTCGGTTCGCGACCAATTCGGTTTTCGACCAAAAATTTTGAGTTTTTTTATGCCTCGGATGACGAACGAATTTCGGTTCTTGAACAAACTGAGCGCACTTGAATGCACCACTTGACTCCTCTCCCCTTCCTTACACGAGGAAGTGACGCTTCCTCGGGTAGATGAGGAAGTGACGCTTCCTCGTGTCGCTTTCCATTGTGAGCAGACGTGTTCAATAAACTTTTTTTTTTTTTTTTAAAAGAGCGTGGTTTCGGTTTTCGAACAATTCGGTTTTCGAACAGCCTTCTGGAACGGATTCTGGACGAAAACGGAGGTTTGACTGTGTATGAAAAACCGCGATGCAGCAATACTAAAATATGAATGAAAGTCCCTTCAGTGTGTGTGTGTGTGTGTGTGTGTGTGTGTGTGTGTGTTTGTTTCCTGCAACACAAGCTCATGATGGCGCCATACACAAAAACTCTTTGGCTTGCTGGAAGAGGTTGGGATAGGCTGTCTGCTGGCTCTACCTGAATGCCAGAGGATCTTTAGTCGCTCCAACATTCCCCTCTGCTAAATATCGCTTGACTTCTGCCATTGCATCTGCAGTTGCACTTCTCCCAAGACTCCCCACTTTGTCATCGAAGTGCTGCCATGGGTCATCTAAGAAAAACAAAAAACAACAACCATTTGTTCAATGGTTTGAAAGTTCAACCAAAAGCAAATTAACATTTCAAATTCAAATTTCAGATGAACTAAATTGCCCATATCAAGAGGTGTCAAATCATTGCGTTAGTTACGAGCTATTAATTTCAGTTCTATTTAGCGCGTTGTGGCAGTCAAAAGGAGCGCACACGACTGACTGGAGACACGGCTTTATTCCACGACTGCCAACAAGTGGATCTGAACAGTCACAAGTTTGCTCCAAAGATATTCACATAAACACGCCCCCTACTGTATGCCTGCTGCGTGAGAAGCATGGTCCGAGTGCCTGCCACAGGGTTATATTTTTTAATCGCGTTAATCTAAATTTTAATCTCTAACTTTATTGTTTCTGTAGGTGGGGAGCCTTTTTATCATACCCGTTTTTATGTGTTGGCTTCCTGTGTTCGAGTTGTTGAGGTTGGGGAAACAATGGTCAGTCACAGCCTGAAGCGGACATTGATTGGCTGTCATTATGTTTGGGCGTGTTGGGCAGAAGCTGATAGGTTCCCATTAGAGCTAAGATTGGTCCTAAAAAATCGAGCCCGACCCGACCCGGCCTGAGGGTATTTAAGCCCGACCCGGCCCGAGCCCGATCACTTAACTTGATTTGCAGGCCCGAGCCCGAAGCAAACACGAAATTTCATATTTCATTTGTGAGGACTCGGGAGGAGGTGGGGTGATTTCTGATAACAAATTAAAGCCTATCTTTTGTAACGAAATCTAAGTTAAACAAGACTGTATAAACATTTACATCTCTTATATTTCTGTTTCTGAAGAGGTTACATTAACCGACAATTTCCTATCGTTGACGGATTTTTTTTTTAAGAGTGGACGGGGAAAATTTAAGGCCATCCGTCATTTTGACGGGTTGAAAATTGGGCCGTAAGTGCGTGTTGTGGTGACGCCGCTTCTGTTTTTTGCGAACCACGGTCTCTCGTGGCCAAAACTATTCACGGCCTCGAAAAAAAAAAAGTCAGCGAGAGAGAAGCCCGACCCGAACCCGAAGCAATGATTGATAATTTTAGGGTCGGGCTCGGGCGGCCCGATCTTACCTCTAAATCCCTTTGGAGTTTGGGAGGGCCAGCTAAGCAGCGGTGAGGAGTTCTCGGCCCAAGGAATGGAAAATTTACATTCAAAAAAACACCCTGACTGCACTATTGTTAAAGTTAGCGTGTTGTGCTTAATTTGTAAGAAGGAGTTTGCTTACCACCGAAGCAGCTCAAGATTAGCCTCCCACATCAATGCAAAGCACCCAGTCGCGAGTGCAGCCACAGCTAACGTTAGCACCAAAAGCTTTATCAATACAGTAAATATTCCCATCCCCGGAATTCTATGAAAAGAACCGGACGGAGGCGTAATGCCGCGGGAGCTTAAATACACGCAACGCTCACCCGATGCGACGGAAAAAAACATGACGCTGTGACACGTTTTCACTTGGCGTTTTTCGATCATTAGATTCGAAACGACGACGTGTAAGTGAGTTTTTATTGGCGTGCGTTTTACTGTAATTGTGAAGGATTTTAACTTTATTCACTTAACGTTCTGTAGAACGCGGCACTAGCTTAAAAGCAGCACCCACTTGACACAACAGAAGATACGTGTTCGCTTCGCCGTTTTCATTCATCAGATTCGAAACGGTGACGTGTAAGTGACTTTTTATTGGCGTGCGTTTTACCGTAATTGCGAAAGATTTTAGCTTTATTCACTTACGTCGTGTAGATCATGGCATCGAAACGTAGAAGAACTGTAATGACTGTAGCGGAGCGAGTGAAATGCATCCGTTTGAGCGAGGCTGGACACAAAGTAAAAAACATCCAGCAGACACTTGGAGTCGGAAAGACGCAAATCTACGAAACTTTAAAAAACAAGGCA